TTCCACCCATTATCACATCCAACCCTTATACCAGCTTTGTGAATTGGGTGTTGTTGTTATCCTCATTTTATAGAAGAGAACTTTTTAATATTTTTATAGAAACACAAGGAGGTTGAGTAGCTTTCTCAAGTAGATGCAGGGGGGGAAAAAAAAAAAAGAGGACCTGGAATTTAATTCTTGGCACTCAGATTCCAGAGTTAAATGTTTATTAGTGGAGGGATTATGTTAAGGGGGGGGGGGGGGAGTCACTCTTGGTTTAGTCCCTAAAGTTGCTAAAATAATTCCTACAGAAGTGTGCTATTATCCTAATCCTTACAACAGCATCACCAAGCAGTTGTCACTCTTCCCACTTGGCAGATAAGGAAACTGAGGTCCAATAAGTTCAAGGAACTTGCACTGACCCCAAAGTCTGAGCTATTTCAAATTAACTGCAACTGCCAAATAGCTAGGTTGGTTAATTAATTAACTAATTAATTTAAGGCAACAACCTAAGTGGATGTTGGGTAAAATTGATTACATTTTTCCATAGTTCCTCTCTCTTTTCAGGAATAACCATGCAATTGCATCACCACATAGCACTGTGTTTCTGGCTTTGTGCTCCCCCCCTAGGAGGGCAGGAGCTGTGGCTCCCAGGGCCTGGTGGGTGAGTCTTGGCAGTATTTGTAAAGCAGTGTGTGGGAGTGTAACTCAGGTGGATCTGAAAAAGTCTTCTTTGGAAAGGGAACAAAACTGACAGTAAACCCACGTAAGTTTGGATAACTAATGCTTCCAAATTTCTCTCTGGAACCCTGATTCCTAAATTTTCCATTCTGTTTTATAACCCAAGTCCAAACCATGGCAGCCCAATGATGGATGCCAATTCAAAAAACCCTTGATTGTGTACCTACCTCTTGCAGGACACTGCTGTTTTCCCTCAAATGTTCTTTCATCTAATGGATGAGAATGACAGGGCTAGTGGAGCACTGAACTAAGGAGCCAGGCTCTTAGAAAGCTTAATGTCTTATTACATTGAAGGGATTTTCCATGGGACTAAAAGAAAATCTCTCTGAGCCTCTATTTTCTTCCTCCATAAAAAGGGGAGGCAATTCCAACTCCTGGTTCACCAAAACAGGTGTGTGGTGAGGGTATGCCAGCACGTGTCCAGTGAAGTGATAATAGTGCAAGGGAAAAGGAGGGCCCGGATGGTCCATAAACTGTACCACCAGACTCTCATTATAAGGAGCTGATTTTATACAAACATTTAGTTATATAGCAAGGGGGGGGGGGAGGCAACTGGGTTTTTGTAGAGTCTCGTATCAATGTGTGATTCAGGAATGAATAAGTTGACATTCGGAAAAGGAACGACTTTGAGTGTTAGACCAGGTATGTTTTAAAGATCACTTTTTTCTAACCATAAGCCCCGCCCTTAGAAATTCAGCGTAAAATCACTGAGTTATTCACCCAGTTATTAGCATTTTGGGGGCTTGGTGCCATGTGTCTTTCCGGTGAAAACCATAATGAGGGCAGCTTCTGACTGGAGCCTCTTTACAACTGTCTCTTCAGCACCTTTAAGCACTTGGAAAAGTTAAGCTTGTTTTTGTTATTGTTGGAAATGCATGTCTGATAAATGGAATCTGAATTGAAGTTTCAGTGCCTAGGGGAAGAAAGCATTTAAAAGAAAAGGGAGGGAGAGATGGGACAGATGGGAATAAAGCACACAGCAATGGCAGAGGATGTGCAATGCAACCTGATCCAAAAGGAGACAGGGAGACAGTGAGACTTAGCTTCCAGATGTAAACAACTGAACCACCACGCTCATGTTACCTTCCTTGTCTTCCCAAGGCCTCCATGTTGGTTCAATGGGGGGGGGGGGGGGGGGGGGGGGGCAGGAGGGGAAGAATTGTTTATTCCCGTAATACTCAAAATCTTGGAGCCAAGCTAGCGGGGTAAAGCCATGTAAGATTTTCTGGTGCTGACATTGATAACAAGATGATATTTAAGGAAAGGGTAAGATTAAAAGCAAATATTCAAAATAGAAAGATCATTGCCCTAGCCGGTTTGGCTCAGTGGATAGAGTATCAGCCTATGGACTGAAAGGTCCCGGGTTCAATTCCAGTCAAGGGCACATGCCCGGGTTGTGGGCTGGATCCCCAATAGGGGACGTACAGGAGGCAGCTGATCAATGATTCTCTCTCAACATTTATGTTTCCCTCTCCCTTCCTCTCTAAAATCAATTAAAAATATATATTTAAATTTAAAAAAAGATCGTGAACTTCTGAAAACAGGCCCATGGCACTGTTACACACTGCGTTTCTAGTTGAGACATTTGTTATCTTTTCCTTAGCTAAGCTCTGCATCAGAGAAGCCCTTTTGATACCCATTCATTTCTGTGCTCCTCAGTGAAAAAGGAGTAACTAAGCTTAGAAGTATAAGAAGATTCCATAATCCAATCCTTCTCTCCATCTTGCAATTCCCAAGAGGGGTATTTTGAGCACTGCCCACCATTCTCAAAACAAAACTAATTTCAATTAACTTGAATGCAGCTGAAATTTTGCTCCATGATGGAGTCTATTTACTATAATGGAAGCTCATCCCAGAAAATTGTGTGGGGTTTAACTTTTGCTTACAATTCCCAAGAGATACCAACTACCCGATGGATACCTCAAAGTAAACCTACTTTCATGGTCAAATTATTATTCATATTTAAAAGACTAGAATCAACTGAGTATTATATTAGCTCCAAGTGACCTCCCAGAAGTCCTTTATACCTAAACAGCATAAGATTTTAAAAAGCATGTTCATGCTGACCTGTGTGTCCAGTTGCTAACCAGAGCAGGTGGGTCAGCTGCTGTCTTCCCAGGTTGGGTTGGATATTTAGAGTCCTCCAGATATTAGAAATGGTAATCAGGAAAAGCACATGCCATTCCATTTTTATTTGTAAACCTCATCTCTCCCAGAGAACTGTTATAAACTTTCTCCCAAAGGTGTTATATTCATCCTTCTTTTGGTTCCTTTATTTGTGATGTGTAGAGAGATGAAATATTGGTGGAGATTCAAAAAACATCCATGAGATTTACTTTAAGCTTTGCCTGTCATAAAAAGTCTAAGAATGAAAGAGATGGGAAGCTGACATTTTGGAACTAGGTTAAAAAGGAAATCCAAATTAATCCCAAGGAGCAATGCTCAGTAGATAGTTATTTAGGCACAAGCACGTCAATCCCGCAAACCTGGTTGCTCGGTTGGCTGGACTGCCCCTATCTTGGGCTTTGCCTGGAAGAGTAATAATAACTTGTTCACTCCGGTCCTGTCTTGGGAAAACAGAAATGTCAACCTCTAGCCCTAAAAATGCCTTGTGATTTGGTTTATTTCAATAGAGTTTATCATTACACACAGTGTTCTGGAAGTAATAGAAAAGTGCATTAGTACCTCCTACAAATGGAAATGAAATGTAAATGTAGATTGTAAGTATACAACTGCAGTAAATAGCAAGGGGAAAAAAGATGAAAAGATTAGACCACATTTTTCTAATCCTAAAGGGGATGTTTCTATAAATAGTTTAAAACTATTGGAGAGGAGGGGGAGGAAGAAGGAAGAAAACAGAGGCAAACAGATTTTCTCCTAATCTTCTTCACTTTGCAAAATTGGAAATTGTTTTTTAATCAAATTTCCATGAGCAGAGGAAAGAAACCACGTCTGTTTTCAGACTAAAGGGCACATGGTTGAGTTTCTCCTAGAAGTGATCTTGTGGAGGGCTCCCTATTGGTGACAAGTGCTGGCAATGTCCTGGGGGGGTGGGGTGGGGGGGTCGGTGGGGAGGAATTAGCACAAAAATGAGTTCAATTAAGTGTGCAGGGACAAGAAGGTCTCATAAGGCAGGATTTCCCCTGGATTTTCTGCCCTGACACCTAACCTTTCCTGTTTTAGCCTGGTGGATTAGGTCGCAGACCAGCAAGTCCTAGGATTCAACCCAGAAACTGTAAGGATGAAGCGAACTCAGCTTTACTCAGGAGACCTGGCATATTCTGATTTTAAAGGTTCTTTTAACTCAGCTGTTTTTTTAGGGGGATCTCTGAAAAGACTGAAAGAATGGTTTTATTTTAAAGGTTAGAATTGTAGGAAATGGAATAAAGATGTTAAATATTTGTTTGGCAAAGAGATTAAATATCTGGTACATGTCTACAAAGGAGACTTTGTCAAGGAGAAAGTAGGAAGCGCCAAAGGGACACTGTCCTGAACCTATCTGGCTTGTGCGATTCGGGCCATTGTCCACAGCAGCTGAGGCGCTAGGAGAGCAGATCAGGTGTCCTCCTCAAGGGGGAGAGGAAGAGGGGCCTTGTGTGAGGTTTGTGTAAAGCTGTTTGCTGTGGTGTATGTCAGGGGGTGCCGGCCAGAAGCTGGTATTTGGACAAGGAACCAGGCTGACCGTCAACCCCAGTGAGTATGAAAAGGGGAAGCTCCGTGGGCTCCCTCCAGCCCTTTCCTTCTAAGCCTTGTCCTGCAAGTTCCCCTGGAGAGGCAGGACTCGTTTTGCCTAGTCCCTCATAGGGAGGCAGACCCGGAAAGCCAAAAAGCCCTCCAACTTCTCCCTTTGAACATGTCCCTTTAAAAGCTCACTCACTCTGCTCCCCGTCTGCATCTGCAATCAGTTTCCAGTCAATCAGAATTTAGTGAGTTGATGTGAGCAATTTCAAGAAATAGCCCTGAAGTGCAATAAAGTAGAAACTGTGAGTGCCAGCCAGGGGTAGACAATGAGGGAAGAAAAATAGGTGGATTACTGAAACTAAAGTGGCAGCTTAGACATAAAGAGAAGAAAAACAATAAAAATTTTAAAAATAAATAATGTGTATATTTATCAGGGCTCCCTTGCCTTCTGGAAGCCCAGCTCCTGCCTGCAGCGGACACCTTGTGGACTTGTAGGTTAGTGCTGGGTTGCAGGTCAACATCATATTGACCCCCCAGGGCCCTCTGCAAAGAGCAGCTCCTGTTTGTTTTTGTAAAGTGCCCCCTGACTGTGAGAATAGTGGAAGTGGCAGCTATAAACTGACATTTGGAAAAGGAACTCTCTTAACTGTGAATCCAAGTAAGTTTGAAGGGACTAACCAGGGTGGGGGTAAAGGGAATTCAAAGCACTTCTTTCTTCTCATTTAAATTATTATCCCCCCAAACATCCCAGCTTAGTTTCTAAATCTAAGACATGGAAGACATGGTCCACATCAGAGAGATTAGAACTCCATTGTACGAAGACTAAATTACCTTCAGCTAAAAACATTCCTATCATCCATCTTAAACAAGATTATAGGTTCAGGGAGAAAAATTGAATACAGGATCCTGAGAGACTCAGCTAAAGCCAGGGAATGTTTGCCAAAAGGAGAGAGAGGAAATTGGCATATTGTGACTATGCAAATTCAGAAGACCAAATATAAATCTTCCTGAGGCAGATACTAAAACTCCCCCTAAATTTATCTCCGAAAGAATGGAACCCTGCAATTTTATTAATGAATGCTGGAAATTCTACAGACAGATTTTTTTCCTTCTTTTCCCTTCATGTTTTCTCTCTTAAAGGAACTGTTCTCAATCCCCAGTCCAGTAACTGAGGTCTCTATGGGTGGAATGTCTGGTTAACTCAGGCGGAGCATTAAACCTCTCTTTCCCTCAGTTACCAAAACCATTGACTGAGCCTTCATTTTACTTAGTTCAACTGCAGAGAGTGGGGAGAAATTCATTTGTCCTCTGGGTTGTGAGAATAGAGCAGTACACTTTAAAATATACACCCACCTTTCCATAATGATAATAATGTGTGTAAGTGCTTGGGAGAAGCTTAAAAGGCTATAAAATTGCTATTGGCACTTCTTGAAAATCTGTGTTTCTGATGGGTTCCTGAGAGTGGTGCTTATGAACGAATGCTGGGAAGACTGGCTTGATATACAACTTGGGGAAAGTGGAGGTGAGGAAAACCTGTTGAAACAGCCCAGTCTCCTTTGATATGAGCTGAGTGCCCTGGTTGCAGCGTTTTGAGATCTGCTTTGCGTGATTAGGAGAGCACGCAGCACTGGGAAAAGCATGTAGCAAAACACAGCCCAGTCAGAGCTCTTGAAGAGTGGCTCAGGGGGTGATGCGGTGCAGGGTGGCACTGAAGGGGTTAATGCAGCCTGGTAGCAGCTGGCTTGGAATGTTCTGGGATAGGCCCTGAAGAACACATAGTGTGGTTAGCCATGAAGTTGTCATGCACAGAAGTGCCTTGCTCAGCAGGGGGCAAAACCAGTACAACAATGAATAATACATGACATTGTTAAATCCCATGCATTCGGCAATCTCTGGGGGTCTATCTAATTAACCCTTCCAGGGAATTCTTATGAACATCCTGGAGACTGAAGGACCTCCCTTCTCAGAGGGTGGGCAGTCGAGGCTGGGGACTTATACAAGAGGTTTTATCTTTGGTGTCTTGTTAGAAACACACCAGGATGCATATAGAAGCTGGGAGGCCTTCTCAGCACTTGGTTGACCTCCACACTTCAAAATGTGGACAAGCGGCCAGAGAGTTTGACGGCCTAACCACGCAAAGGAAATATCTAAGCAGGGCAAGCACCCTTTCAGCGCTCTGAACAGTAGTTGTACGCCAGATTTCCCATGCAGTGGACTCTATATGCAGGGCTACAAGGCAAGGCTGGAGTCCAAGGCACCCATGATTAAATTCTGTTTTCCCACAGTCAGCAGAACACAGAGGTTATTGCCACAGCAATACATTGGCGCCGTCTGTTTGAGGGCTTCTGCTGAGGGCAGGCATCTGAGTTTGTTTATGTCCTGATGTATGGCAGCTGGAGTAGGGTGTAGAGTAGGAAAGAGGGGGGAAGAGTCGCTTGAATCCCTGACTGCTATGCTTAAAGCAGATAGACATGTCTTTGTTGCTAAATAATAGCTTTTTTCTCTCACCCTTTTCATGTTGATAAGCAAGCTAAAGCTTTGACCCTTTGCTGATTAAGTGGTTGCTTAAAGAGACGACTAGAGAGACTAGCACAAATTTAGTCCAGACAGTTGAGTTTAAACGTTGAATGCAATTAAAGAGCTAAGTATTTGTTTTTCCCATTCTTTGGGGATACGGTTTGATCACCATTGTGCCAATAATGAGACTGCCTCAATTTTGTTTCTTCCGCGTTTTGGGGCATGCACCAGACACAACCTAGGAGACCCCCAAGCTTCCTATGGTTATGACAGTCAACAATGGAAACTGTGTTAGGTCAAAGAATGACATTTACAGCAACCTCAAGTAAAGATGCAGAAGCCTGCCTCTAACAGGGGCCCCACTTAACTCTATCACTGTGGCTGCACTGTGAGGTCAGGACACTTCTCATAGGGTGACCAGATGTCCCAGCTTGCCTGGGATTGAGAGGCTACCCAAGATAAAGGTATTTCTTTGCTAAACCCAGAACAGCCCAGAATAGCTAATCACCATAACAAAGATCAGGTATAAACTTTCTGTGAAATGCCACTAACATTTCACCACGTTCAAAACTGACAAAAAAGCTACTCTGTGAAAATAGGCTGAGTCAAATGTGCCCATCCTTTTTGTTTCTTATGCTGGGGCACGAAGGGAAGCTCTGGAGACAGTGTTTCAAGAGGCTGGAGCCTCAACCTCATCTAATTCTAGTCAGCCTCCAGAAAGCTGAGCACTCTCCTCCTGTCTTCTTCTAATCAATTCGTTGTCATCAGAAATGCGTGATACCTTGAAGGAAGGGGAGGACATGTCTTGAAAACTGATCAGAGAAATTGTCCTGAAAATGATGCTGTAAAATGGAAATGAGACCTTTAGAAAGAACGATGCTAAACATAAGACATCGGTAAGCCTCAGGATGGAAACCAGAGGAAAAGGAGGGAGATGGCAGGCAGGGGGGACACAGCGGGTCAGTGGCCCAGGACCAGGTGTGCAAATGGTCCTCTAACCTTCAGTAGGAAGAAACTGGCCTCACAAATCCAGGTCCCTTTGGGTGGGTTTCTTCTCCCCAGAATTAAAGAGGAAGGTGGCTGTGAGCCTCTGTGGTCCCCTGGGGTTCTTGTAAAGGCCTCTGTTACAGTGTTAACACTGCCGGTAGTGGCTATGGAAAGCTGACATTTGGACAGGGGACCATCTTGACTGTCCATCCAAGTAAGTGTAAAAGGGCACAGCAGCATTCTGGAAGTTCTGGAATTTTGCCCCTGATTTGAAAGAAATGTATGTTGCCTTGGAACCAGATCTTGCTTGAGGTTAACTAGTGACCTCCAAGGTCCTGTCCCTCCTTTAATCTCAATATTAATAATTCCCTTTTGGACCCTGAGCCATTAGGTTTATCCTCCTGCTGTTAAGTAGAGCTGACCTTGACCCTGGAAAGATAGAAAAGAATCCTTGCTGATTTCTGAGCCTTCTCTGGAGATGATGCCAACTTTGGGGTTGGAGGGTCACCCTTTCCAACCTATTCCCCTGAGTAACCCCTTCTAACATTTAGTATCATCCTATCAGAAAATGTTTCCTTACACCAATCTTAACTTCTTCTTGGCTCAGCGGAGGCCATGTGCACCGGTATCCACAGTGGAGAGGGAGAACTGGGAGCAGAGTTGGAATAGGTAGGGGGCATTCCATTCCGGGTTTTAAATGAAAGTGAAGAGGGAAAATATGAAAACTGGATGAGAATCTGAGGTCTTATTTTAAATCCCTCTATGTTCCCTGCCTGACTCCTATTGCGTCTATAGATGCAAAACTATAAAGGGGGGGGGAAGGGAATTATGCATCCACTGTGTTCATTTCCAGCTCTGAAGCCACCAGGCAAGAGGTTACAATTCCTTCCAAAGAGTTTCAGATACAAAGCTGTATCCTTGCCGATAATTAGAGCGGATAGAAAGATTTGGCTTTAGTGTGTTTGTGGCTGCACCCCGCCGGGAAGAGAGAGGAACTCTGGCTGTTTTTTTAAGATTCATAAAGTTCCTCCTGTCAGTCGCTGTAACATGCCCCGCTGCAGGGAGAAGCGTGACAGCTCTGAGAAGCTGATATTTGGAAAGGGGACGCAGTTAACCGTGAAGCCCAGCAAGCCAGAAAGACTCTAACTCACAGTGTCCCCCATGTCTTTTTGCATTTTAGGCCTTTGGGCTCTTTCTTGCAGCGATTCTATTGGAGTCGGATGGAAATAGATCAAGGAGAGTCTGGAGCCCCGTGGATGCTCAGAAATGATAAATGAAAGAGATGAGAGGCAGGAAGGAGGTGGGGAGTTAAAAAGCAGTAATATATTTTCCACTGCAGCTTGATTAGACAGAGGTGGGGAGGGGGTGTCCGGAGAAGAGTGTCACCGCTCAGACTGACTTAGCACTGTTTTCCTAGGCTCTCCTTCTAGGGCAGTATTTTCCCCCATTCTAAAGGGGGTGAGTCCAGTCCCTGGCTGCTGTACAGGCCCAGAGGATCAGGCAGGCAGTGTAGTCTTAGGCTGTGTGTGCGGAGGGGGTGGTCTGGCATCGCTGTCTACCTGCTCCACTGAGTGGCAGCACCCGGGTGGGTATGGAGCTAGAATGTGTGGTGCTGCATGTTGGGTTGTTACCATCATTTTGAATGTACGAGGTGCCACCAAGGAAAGCCTGGTTCTAATGAGCAGGGGGCAGGTTGGACCAACACTGCCCAGATTTCGTTGAGTTTCTCCAAGCCCAGTAATGTGGGAGCCAACATTGAGAGGTTGACTTTTGAGCCTGGGATCCCTTTGACTGAAATCCACCAAAGGGGTCAGAAAGGCCAACACTGCCTTGAGAGCTCTGCTTTTGTTTGGGCTGTCAGTTGTCATTTCAGCAAAACACATCCCCTGAGAAAGGTCAGCTCTTCATTAGCCAGACAAATGAGAACAATATATTGACCAGTGATGAGGAGCGGGGAGCCCAGATCTCAGCTCTGAGAGCCTGGTAGTCCCAGTTCTGTCATCACAGCGTGCCTGTGAACAGACGCTGGCTCAGAGAAGGCGGATCAATGTGTGTGAGGACCTGCTGAAACCAGGCAAGGGCTTGGAGATGGAAATGAGATGCAGATTGGGATGTCCTGTGGATGGGGGGAATAATAGAGAAGGGAGGAGGAGA